ATTACATACCTTTTTTTCATACATAAAATTAAGTATGAAGACTGCACAAGGTTGTACAGCAAAGCCAAAAGAAAGCAAACAGTTTACAGCAGGGGGTGAACAGAGACTGGAGCTTACCTATACATGTTCAGCAGTGCAGAACCACAGATTTTACAGCGCAATGACTTTCTGAGCTAAAACATTATTCCATAAAAAAGAGCTTGGCAACCCTTTTTTTCATACATAAAATTAAGTATGAAGACTGCACAAGGTTGTACAGCAAAGCCAAAAGAAAGCAAACAGTTTACAGCAGGGGGTGAACAGAGACTGGAGCTTACCTATACATGTTCAGCAGTGCAGAACCACAGATTTTACAGCGCAATGACTTTCTGAGCTAAAACATTATTCCATAAAAAAGAGCTTGGCAACAAAAATCCAGTGGGGAAAAAAACACAAACTCATCATTAAAAAACTATTAACTTTCTCTCGGTGTGAACTTTTGAGCAACTTCCAGTCATGTCTTTTTCTATTCTTTCTAAGAGAAGCAGCACAAAGATCTCCAAACAAACCATCAAGCCCTGTGACCTCAGTAAGAACTTTATCCAGCAACAAGACAACTCTAACATACGGTGAGAAAACTGTATACATAACTCAATCTAGCCACAGAAGGAGGCTCTTCTGCTCTTTTCATCTGCTCTTTGCATCTTATCAGAATTAAAACTGGAGAGGGAAATAAAATTCTCAATACCTGGCAGGCAAATGTTTCACCCAGAAGATTTTTTTTCTTGGCCTAAATATAGCACAGACTAAGAAACATCTGCTTGAATGAGCCTGCATCCTGTACTACCTCTTTCCTAAGTTCTTGGGAGCATGCCATTAGTCACCAAGATGGTATTATTTTAATTGTCTGCAACATCCTGGAAGTTTCAGTGTTTCCAGCACGGGCCTCTATCCATTTAAGTCCCATCTCTGCAATCTCCTGAAACAGTCCACTTAAATAAGACCCTACTGAATTTTGCTGAATATAATCAGAGAACAGTCATTTTTAAGTAAACACCTTCCCCAAGAGCACAGTTATTTCATTAAGATAAAAAATCCACCACACT